TGTTATTTGTGGGCAATAGCTCGCAATGCAATTTATCCATTATATCGTAGGCCTGGTATTGAATCGTCTTATTATAGTCAGTCCAACCGGGACTCAGCAGAGAGTCAGTGATATGAAAGTTATTAATAAGTATTTTGTAGACTCCCTGGGCGGTCGCATAGATTTTTGCTGAACTTATTTTTGAATCAGTTATAAATGTTTTTCTCAAATATAGGACTGGCACTAGAGCCGGGTGAGCTTGAATTACCTTGATCAAAATGTATTAATTACTAAAAACATTTATATTAAAACCACATACTTTTAAGTCGATATCCGATATGTTTTGTAGCGCTGTATGTTGAGTGCCTACTGGGGCTCCAATGTATTGGGCGGTCCAGTCATTCACGTCCAGCCCTTTATCCCAAAAGTTTGACCCACCACTTGCGCCAAGTTGTACCTGGTCATTCTGGTCCCACACATTCACTTTCCAATAGGCTCTCTGTCCCGACTTTAACGGAGTTCCACCGTATTTAATATGAGTGGTCCTGTCGCTCACCACTTTCTTACTGTCCCATAGATTACCGATATCTTTGTCCAGACTTTCCGGATCTGTTGCCACAAGTATTTGATACGCTTTTTGAGACAAATCTCTTTTTGTGGGATCAGTCGCCTTAAGAGTCCATTGGAGTCGCGGCTGAGGTATGTCTACGGCTATTGGGTTGCGAAGGTATTCAACCCTCAGATCAACAGCTGATATATCACCGGTCGGTGCCGTCAGTACTGTTACGCATAAGAGGCTCTCAACGAGAAAACTTAATAATACTATTGAGACCATCATTTTAATTGGTGTCAAACAAAACCAATAACTAGTTAAACATGTATTTCATTGTCTATTTAAAGACATTAATAATACAATATATGAATACAAGCAATGTATATGAATACAGTACTTATGCTACAATTCTTAACAAATCTCTGAATCAAACCAAACACCTGTTGTGTCACTCGAGTTATCAGTAAAGAAATGGAAAATTTGTTTTTTACTTATATTGAAGCACCTTTGTAATCAGCAAACTGTGCACTTTTGTGTGTTTTTAAAAAGTAGTCTCTAATTATAAGTTAGAATATCCTATATTAGCTTACACTGAATTAGTTTTTTTGTAATCCTAAATTAGATTTATCGCTAATTTTTTCAGGATTTAATATTTTAATCAAATATCTTAAATGATTTTAAAGAGTTTGATAATAAAAAGTTTCCATAATTAAGTACATACAGACTTGACGCACATTAGTCGCTCATTTATTTAATTATTTAAGCCTTAAATTTTAAGGTATTAATATCAGAGAATTTGGTCAATACATATTCAAAATTCTCAAAATAAATAATAATTTAATTTTTTTAACACAATAATTCATTCTAATTTGTTATATTTTTATTACTAGTAATTATATAAGGAGCTGTATTATTAGCAATATTTAGGTCTAGTTTATTTTTCTTATCAAACTCATCATCTATCGTATTAACAGGCAAATTCCAGCTCTGTTCATAACCGGGGTCACTACCAAACTGTGTCCGGTGGTCCTCCAATACCAGATCAGCCCCTTTCTCTCCGACTGCCAGTGCGGCCGCATTAGTATTGGCGTTAATAACTGTCGGAAATACTGACGTATCGATTACTCGCAAACTACTGACTCCTCGCACCCGAAGTCTCTCATCGACCACAACATCAGTCCTATGCTGTCCACCCATACGACAGGTGCCGACTGGATGTCTAAAACTTCGACCCACTTGTTTGATGATACAAATATGGTATGACGTGCACTGCCACACCGGTCCACTTGAACAGTACGAACACCCAGGCACTGGTTGTGGGTTTACGTATACATACTTCGATACTGATGTCTCCTCGACCACATAATAAGCATAGGATATGGCGTCCAAAAGTGCCTGTTTGTCATCCGGGTGCTTCAGGAAATTCTCTTCAATAATAGGCAACACCTGAGGGTCGGAAGATCGGAGCCTTACATTACCCACGCTTTTAGGCCTTGAAATGACTGCAATCACATCCAAATAGTTGTTATACAATAAGTGTTGGTAATATTGAGTCCATTCGTTGAGTCGGACCCCCATTTGAATACCATTAGTAAAACCCAATCCCCATTGATTTACGACATCCACATGAATTATAATGTCAGGGTAAGTCCAGTCTGAGTTTACACTGGAGTTAAATTGCAAGTATAAAGCGGGCATTTGTGCCAATGGACCGGTGTATTCAAACAGTGCCTGGTACATTTGTTGGACACTAAGTTGAGGTGCGGGCAACACATAACTAGAGTTTTTGATAAGCATTGGTATGACTACTGCCACATGATTCTGGAGATTTTGACCAACTGGTAGGTCAGCCCATACAGGTTCTATGCCAAATGAATGTAGGTGCTCTCGGGGACCAATTCCCGATAACATTAGTAAATGTGGTGATCCATTTGTACCTGATTTTAATAATAAAACATTTAAATTATTTAGTTAGTTTAAACTAAAATAACTGTATAAAATCTTAACATATTTAATACTAAATGGATTTTATTATTAAAGTTTTGAAGTTAAATTATAAATTATAAATAATTTTGCATATTTCTAAAAGTCGTATTAAATTCACTTAAGTATGTTATTTAAGTATATTACAAATAATGTTAAGATTCCTTAAATTTTTAAAATATTAATAAAAAATGTGAAATAAGTTATACTTTACCGGCTGACACAATAATCTCCTTGTTTGCTATCTTACGATAGTTTCGATTTCCTTTAGTAAACTCCACTCCATATGCTTTTGCACTATTCATTTGATCACTTATAAGCACTTTAGTGACAAACGCCCCTGTTAATATATTAATATCAGGGCATATATTAGAAAATTCCAAATATGCGTTGGCAGTGGACTGTCTCATCCCATCCCTGATAGTCGACTGCATTATACTCGTGCCATACTGTGTCGGCCCATTTGGGTCCACAATAGGAAAGCCCTGTTCTGTCAGTGCTTTTTGCCATCGAGATAGTGTTGGATCTATTTCTGATGAAGTGGATACACCAACCGGTCCACTGCGCCCATGATATCTGGGATCGACATTAGGATCGGTATTATTCTCTGATTTCTTGAAATACGGCAACAATTGTTCAAAACTCCAACCGTTGGCACCGAAATCACGAGCAATACTGTCGTAATACTTACGGTTCCCTCTGTTATAGACCATAAAGTTAACGGCAGAACTTCCACCCAATACCTTTCCCTTTGCTTCTGGCGTTTGTCTATTTATGAAGGCCTGTCCAACCTCTGGCTGTTCTTCATTGACGTACTGCCAAATACGGGACGGGTTCTGGAGGTTATAGTTAAACATACCGGGAAAGTCTGTCATCACTGAGTCCTGTCCTTCGCCCGCCTCCAGTAGTAACACTCGGTTACCCTTTTCATGTGCCAAACGACAGGCCACTATAGAGCCGGCACTCCCGGCCCCCACCACTATGTAATCGTAAGACGACTTTACTTGTATCCGATTTGCAAACGAGTCGTGTATTTGTTGTCTCTGTAATAGTACTGTGAATACTGTCAACCATTGGAGGTTCAATGGAGGGGAGGGTATTATCAATGGATCCATAAATTTATTAAATCACAAATAATTTTAAGTCAATTAATATCTATACTGTTTATTACCGGTACACATAATAGTGTTTATTTATTAAAATATTTTTATTTAATTCTATTTAATCTTTATTTAGTTCAATTATGTGCAAATATTTTTATATCTGATCTGTATAATATAAATTTAGGTTACAATTTTAATATTTTAGATTTTATTTTAAATATGTTTGTGCTTTCATATTTGTAACACCAAATTTTTCAAATATTTTACAGATATTGTGTACTCTTTATAAACATTTAGGAATTGTAATCCACTGTACAGTACAATCATATTTATAATTTAAATCCTTTTATAAAGTAAATAAACATTCAAAAAATTATCATTTAATTTCATTAATGTTATTTATAGTATTGTCTGTAGTGGCATCGGTTGTATCAGTGTAATTAGAATTCAACTTATTTTTCTTATCAAACTCATCATCTATCGTATTAACAGGCAAATTCCAGCTCTGTTCATAACCGGGGTCACTACCAAACTGTGTCCGGTGGTCCTCCAACACCAGATCAGCCCCTTTCTCCCCCACTGCCAGTGCGGCCGCATTTGAATTGGCGTTAATAACTGTCGGATATACTGACGTATCGATTACTCGCAAACTACTGACTCCTCGCACCCGAAGTCTCTCATCGACC